CCCCCCCCCCAAAAAAAAAAATCTTGGGATGGATTTTTTGCAGCACATATCATTTTCAGCACTAAGTATTATCACAAGAAATTAAAAATGGACACAACATAAAAAAATTCTAAAATTTATTATCAAGATATACATGAATAGAACTCAGTTTAATACAAAATTAACATTTAAGAACCCTGGGAACAAATTTGATGCCACCACTACCTACTTCATTATCATATGTTCACATTTTGAAAATGAAAAAATAAAACCACATGAAAATCAACTTAACACTTAAAATAACAAGCAATAAGAGATCAACTTACACTACTAAAAAAAGATGAAATATTTCTTTGCACAACACTTAAGCTTTGGTAATCAGAAAATAAATGTAATGGACAACATAGAGAATAATATGAATTGTTAACATGAATTTCAATATCTAATAGGAAGAATCAAATTATATCATGATAGCAAATCATCAATCAAATTGTCAACACATGCCAATTTGTATAAAAGTTGTTGTGCCTTATTTGTATAGAAGTTGTATTCCTGGGCAAGAACGAGGCCAAATAATGAATTCTGCATGCAAAATATATGTGCAAGTAGCACACGAATTATACAAAATATACCAAAATACAGAAATTTGTTTGCTTAAATATTTACACCCAGTTTTTGGATGACATATGTAACATATCCATGAAATAACTTAAGTTTAACTGATGTATTATCTTGAATCTTTGTACTTACTGCTTCAAAAACCCACTAAAGCCTACTAAAAATACTTTTAATACTGTTATACTCCAGAATACATAATCAAAAGTACAACCCTGCCAATTGAAAAAGTAAACATTGTGAACCTCCACAAATTATTAAAAAAGCCAAAATTCAAAACCCATGTCCTTAAAATACCAACAAGAATAAACAAATAAAAAATTCTTCAGTCAGTATCAGTAAATGAGCAACAGAAACATTAATTTTCTGTTTTAAAAAACAATGAATAAGTTCATGATGAATTCTGGCTTTCGCACAAAAACAGTCTTCAGCAATGGTAAGTGTAAATACTGTATGTCACTACAGAATGGCTATCCATTACACTTTTCACATCACAGTTGTGCATATTTCAACAGCTTACTTACTAAATTTCTCACAAATAATCAGAATACTATCCAGGGGAAAACAATGCATGTACGGAAGAACACTAGAAATATAAGAATTACAACTATAATACTGATCACAGATCCCATACAGAGATCCATCTTGATATTACCACAAATAATTCTTATTGTAATATTCTTTTTTGAAACAACTTATAAAAGTTTATAGAGAACATTTTACACAAGACTGTATGATAGATGTAATTCTTCAAATTTCTGAGAGTAATAAGGAGTGACAAGTACCTCACTTTAAAACACATTTGATATTTATTTTGAATGCTAAAATTAAGAATTAGTTGATCTGCAATGTAGCAAACCAAAGTATTATTATAAATAACAAACATGTGGAAATAAATAGTGAAGAATGGGAATGTGAATAACATGACAAGAAATACTGTTGAAATATAAATATTATTTCATTCACTAAATCACAAAACAGAATACTTTTCGTCTCGATTTACTAACAAATCTTGCACAGATTTTAAGGATCTCTTAAAAAAAGCGTGCCACAAAAGCTTTACTGACAATGAGAATGAATATTAAAAAGAATATGATAAATGATTTATGATTCTATGGAGAGTACAAATGTATTTCTTTTAATGCACTCACTTGGAGGTAGTCATGTTTCTTCAACAACTTTTTAAATGGACTCTAAACAATACTTTCTTTCCAATCTGTGAATTTGGTAAAAATGATTTTAGCCATATCTACACACAAATTATGAATTTAAGACAGGTAAAACAAATTTGCTGAAAATCAATTTAAATACATCCTTGTATAATATTTGCTCCAGGAATATTTATTACCTTCTGAAATGCAGAGGAAACCAACTTCACAATATATGTGAAAATAAAACTATGCTGAATCAGGTACTATTTTCTAGGAATTGTTTCTGATTTTTTGCAAATGTCCAATTTCCAAGTCTCTCCATTCAATTCAGATCTGAATGAAAAATTTCGTTCACAAAGAAATGTTTTCAACCTTTACTGCTTACTTGAGCTCAATGTGACTTTCGTGCCTGCCCAACTTTTTTTATTAAAAGCAATAAAAATATACAAACTAATAATAATTGCCAAAACATGTGGTACATCATCAACTGAGAAGAACCCAAAATATATTATAAATGAAGGTGAGAACCAACTGTGTTTATAAATTATTTCTACTATGCAACCTAGTGCATTTACCTGACAATAAACAACAAATCACTCTGATAGTCATTGCTGAAGTCTGTAAATAATAATAATTAAAAAAGAAAAAAGTAGTACACAAATCTGGAAAGATTTCTGAAAATCATATCCTAAAATTACTGGAATTGTGTGAATGATCTTATCATACCAAATGCTTTCTTAGATGAATATGCAGACGGAATTGGAAAACACTTGGTTTATTCATGTGAATTGGCAGTGATAGATTCTGGTTTTGGACTGCATACCAATCCATTATATATTAGTATGTAAAAGGGTTGTTGCATTTATAAAATTACAACAGCAATGTCAAAAAAACAATACACAAGTACACTTATAAAACTGTGCACAACATTTCACAATACACTGGACAGAAATTAAATGCACCAGTTAACTGGCTTTGATAAAAAAAAATTATTTAATACCCACCAAAGAAATGCCAGTTCTTGTACAACACACAAGACACTGTGGTGGATGTATATTCTATTTCTCTTTGAAGCATTTGAACTGTTTCACTGAATAGTCATTTATATTCCTTCATTATCATTTTATTTAGAAAACAACAGTTTCAATTTAAGTAGCAAGAATAGAGTATGTCATACACAATACAATAACTAGATTATACCTCTTCATCTGCACCAATTTTTGTTTAGGTGGTATTTCCTACTTTCAGTCTACCTTTAATGCATTTACTTCTCATTCCCACGCTGAGATTTCACAAAATACATTAGATGAGTCAATGTAAGCATACTTCATAGGTAATTTACTCTTTTTCGTAAGAAATGTTTTGACACAAACAAAAATCACACTACATTTATAAAAATTTGAGATATTACATATTTTAATTGTTTTCAATGCATTTTTATCTTATTAAACATTCAGTGAAGGCTTTGCATCAGGAAACCTAACCAAACAGCAGCAATCCTTGTCAAATCAAAAAAAAATTCTCAATAATCAGAAGTTGTCAAATTTTCTTCAAATGCTATCTGAAATGCAAAAATTGTAAACTGGGAAGAGTTATCACAGAGTTTGGATTCTTCAAATTATTTATAGATTTACAGGTTTGAAAAAAATACTGTTTGAACCAAACCATTAAAATACATGCTTTTGATTTACTGGTATTTTCTTCATAATGTAAACTCACAAACCAGTAACTTTGTTTCTGAATGTCGTCTTAAAGAATATCACCAGCAGACATTCATGGAATTTATATAATTAGAAATTCCTTAACTATTTTTTTCAGCATTGTAAACTTTCAATGTTAGAAGAAAATATTACTTATTTTTTAAGAAAGATTCTACTTATGAAATTAATATTTAGGTCCAAAAAATTAATTTTTATTAACAAAATTTATATATATTAAAAATTAATTTATTTATATTAAATGTATATAGAGCTCCAAGATTCATTATTGTTCCCACTTATGTGAAACTCCTCCTACAAGTCCATTGTGACAGGTAATAACTCAATGCTGTTAAATGTTACAAGCATGAGAAAACAATAGTTGCAATAGATAGTAAATAACATTTGCAACTTCTTCAAAGAGATTTTTTTATATAGCAGCTTGTTCAAATTTCTGCAAAATTATTTCATTATTACACGAAAACTATTATTATTTCAACAATATTAAATATATAAACCAAAAATTTTGATTTATGGTACTCAAGGTCATTTTTTCTCCTTCCCAAGACGATACAAAGAATAATCAAACATGAAGGATGTCACAAGATCCATGAATTAACAGTGCTTGTTTTGAAAATACATAAAACCCTTTTTCTAAATAGCTCATTCAAAAACAAATTTAAAAAATATTTACCTCATTTGACCATAAATATTTGCAGTTTATGTATTAAATGTATAAAAATGGCACCATAACAAAAAAAAAGGTGCATTATTATTATTTTTATTGTTATTATTTCAAATGTAAGTTTATTCATATTGTCTGTAAAAGCTTCAAAAGCTTTTGTACTGTTACGAAGAAAATACAATCCTTTCAATTTGCAGAGGAAACCACGACATTACATCAAGAGGAATGTACTCAGAACTAACAGAAAAACGAGATTTTTTGTAAAATTATACTTACTGTTCTGATACAACACCTTCAACATTCTCCTTTGTGAACTAAGTACACTTTTTTAAATATATTTTTTTACATTCATTTTGCCAATGGCATGAGGTAGCATTTGTTAACTCAGATATACATTGAAATCAAAAACACATGTGAATTTGTTTCTTGAAATCTTATCTTCATACGTATAAACACAAATCAACCTACATTTTACATTGAGATGAGCAAGATATCAATGGCAAAGATGCTCTGCATGCAGTCCATTCTCTCAAAAAATTGACATTAAAAACAGCTGTGTAAATCACCAGCTTAGAATTCCCAGAACGGATATACATTTTAGAAAGGAGGCAAACTATTAAGAAAGGTTTACAATATACAAAGTTTAACTATTTTAAAAAATAAGATAATTACATATTTCAAAAGGAAAAATATGAAATTATCATATATCTAATTTCTTTTACGAAAATTAAAAATCAAAAGTTACAAAAAGGTATTGAAACTAAGGGACAAGACTCTTTAATTTATAAACTTTTTCACTGCACACTGATGAATATAATTTGTAATCTAGATGATCTATTTAAACATAAATATGGAAATATTTGAACTTAAAAGTAATCCTGTAATATCCATAGATACCACAATGAAACAATACCTTTGGCATATTGTGTATGTAGAAATAGCAAGTGGAAGGCCATGAATCCACAACTTTTCATGAATCCCCAGTACATAGACACATGAGGATGGCAACAGAGTTAAACAATTTAATGCCCTCTGAAGACATTATTATTCTCTGAGACTCATTTTCCCACACTCAAAGAGCTCTGTTTTATAAAAAAATATTAAGTCATTTTACGGAGTATAAACAGCAAGTTTCTGCAATTTTGACTTATCTTGATCAGACTGATCTCTTGCAATAAGTAACGAGTGGCCCATTCCACACGCCACTTGATGGATATAAATTCCATCCAATGACTTAACTTCCATTGGTGTTGTGGATGACTTGCGTATCTCTCCAAAACCCTAGATAAGAACAGAATAAGAGAGTTAAAATAAAAGGTTTATGTGAAACAGTCACTTTTCTTGTAGGTGTACATTATAAAATGTTCTAATATTGTAAAACAGCCATCACATAATCATATCAAATACAACATTTTACCAATAGCCCAAACCAATTATTGTTTAAACTTTCAATAATAATACATTCATAAGAGGTTGCATCACTTCTTATAGCCAATGACGTTTGGCATTTATATCTCTCTGTTCAACACTTTGAAGCGGAAAAGTGCAAGCAAAAAAAAGTTCACATCATACAATTAAAAGTAATGGAAATCCAACATTTAATATTCTTGTAAAACGGGCCCTCACAATGTTAAAAACGTTTTTTAACAAACACATTTTATCAAAATATTCCACGCTTCATTTTAAAATTTCATTACATGAAAACTTTTGAGGAAGTTCTTCAATGGCAGGGTAAATTACAAAGAAAATAATGAACATTAGAGCTAGCACAAAAATTGAAGATTGCAACATGAAAAAACGTTTACTATTTTTAAAACAACCAAACCAACATGAAAGTCTTACCAGTTCTCCATATGTTGGACTTGGTCCCCAAGCTATTACACTTTCATCAGCAGCCATTACAATACTAGTATTGCCACATCCAACACTGCGAATTGCCCATCCTGATAAGTCTTGCACAGGTTTAGGGTACATATTTGCCTCACCAGTTCTTTTAGTTTGACCAAACAGATATAATACTCCTAAAGAAATAATGTTCTATTAATATATTTCGAAAGCAGGTTTTTCCACATTTCATCATTACTATTTTAAAGAAGAAAGTTTCTTATTTGAATTTTACACTGCTCACCTAACTTTAAAATTGCATGTTATAAAATTATTGGAATTTATAACTAAAAACTATTACTTACGACTATTTACAACTAAAAAGAAGAAAGACAACACCTAAATCTTTATCCTTGGTGAATAACATGATAAGTCAAAAAAAAAACTTAATTTTACAGGACAGCAAAACAAATGTTTAAACTAATGCTGTAAGTCAGGGATTAAATTAAGTGTTTATGACTTAAAAAGCATTATTTACCCCGGATGAAAGAAATATTTCAATATGCTAAAATATTATTTTTGAAAATTCACAAAGAAAATGATATATAAAATGAACAAAAAAAGAGGAAAAAGTAAACTAATGCTGTTAAGCAGGATTAATATATGCAAACAAATCGTACCACACAATTAGATTCATTTGACATATCACCTCATTTGGATTAACATAAATCATCTGATTTAGTACTTCCAGTTGACAAGTTTTGTTGCTACTAACATTTTAAAATTAAGTGTTTTTGACTTAACAGTTATTTACCGGAATGAAAGAAATATTCAATATGCTAAATATTATTTTTTGAAAATTCACAAAGAAATGATATTATAAATGAACAAAAAAAAGCAAGGAAAAAAGCGAGAGAAAGCGGATTAAGGTGAGAAAAAGGGAGAAGAGAGAGGGGAAAGAAAAGAGAAAGGAAAGAGGAAAGAAAGAGAGAGGGAGAGAGGGGAGGAGGGAGAGAGAGGGGGGGGAAAGGAGAGGAGGGAGGAGAGAGGGCGGGAAGAGAGAGATGGAGGAGGGGGACAGGAGGAGAGCGGGCAGGGGAAGAGAGGGAGGGGAGCACGAGAGGAGAGCGTAGAGCGGGAGGAGAGGAGGGGAGGGGCAGGGGAGAAGGGCAAGAGAGGAGAGGCGGGGGGGAGAGAGGAGAGAGGAGGAGAGCGGGGAGCGAGAGAGGAGAGGAGGAGAGGGGAGGAGAGGGAGGGGGAGAGAGGGGGAGAGAGGGGAAGGGGAGAGAGAGGAAGGAGAAGGGAGATGGGAGGGAGAGAAAAGAAAGAAAGGAAGAGAGAGAGAAGAAAGGAAGAGAGGAGAGAAAAGAAGGAAGAAGAGAGAGAAAGAAAGGAGAGAGAGAGAGAAAAGAAGGAAGGAAGAGAGATGAGAGAAAGAACGAAAGAGAGAAAGAAAGGAAGAGAGAGAGAGAGAGAAGGAAGAGAGAGAGAGGAGAGGAAAGGAAGAGAGAGAGAGAGAGTGAAAGAAGAGAAGAGAGAGAGAGAAAGGAAGAGAGAGAAGAGAAAGGGAGAAGAGAGAGAGAAAGGAAGAGAGAGAGAGAGGAAAGGAAGAGAGGAGAGAGAAAGGAAGAGAGAGAGAGAGAGAAGGAAGAGAGAGAGAGAGCAGAGGAGAGAAGGAAGAGAAGAGAGAGACGAAAGGAAGAGAGAGAGAGAAGAAAGGAAGCAGAGAGAGAGGAAAAGGAAGAGAGAGAGAGAGAAAGGAAGGAGAGAGAGAGAGAGAAAGGAAGAGCAGAGAGAAAGAAAAGGATAAGGAAGAGAGAGAGACGAGAAAGGAAGAGGAGAGAGAGAGAGAGAAAGAAGAGAGAGAGAGAAAGGAGAGGAGAGAGAAGAAAGGAAGAGAGAGAGAAGAGAAGAAAGGAAAGAGAGAGAGTAAGAAAGGAAGAGAGGAGAGAGAGAGAAAGGAAGTAGAGAGAGAGAGAGAGAGAGAAAGGAAGAGAGAGAGAGAAAGAGAAAGGAAGAGAGGAGAGAGAGAAAGGAAGAGAGAGAGAGAGAGAGAAAGGGAAGAGAGAGAGACAGGAAGAGGAGAGAGAGAGGAGAGAGGAAAGGCAAGAGGAGAGAGAGAGAGAGGAAGAGGAGAGAGAGAGAAAGGTTGTTTAGAGAGAGAGAAAGGAAGCAGAGAGAGAGAAAGGAGAGAGAGAGAGAGAGAGAAAGGAAGAGAGGAAGAGGAGAAAAAGAAGAAGAGTGAGAGAGAGAAGAAAGAAAGATAGAGGAGAGACAAAAAGAAGGAAGAGAGAAGAACGTAAGAAAGGATAGAGAGAAGACAAAAGGAAAGAGAGAAGGGAAAAAGGAAGATGACAGGTGGGAAGCAAAGAACCAAAAAGAGAGAAGGGAAAGAAAGGAAGAAGAGAGGGAAAGAAAGTTGAAGAGAGACGGAAAGAAAGGAAGAGAGAGGAGGGAAAGAAAGGAAGAGAGAGGGAAAGAAAGGAAGCGAGAGGGAAAGAAAGGAAGAGAGAGAGGGAGAGAGACAAATGAAAGTAATTTACTACCAAGCCCTTCAGACACACAAAAATTAACACTGGAAAACACAAGATGAGGGATTTACAAAACTTACCAAAATCATTGAGAGCTAAGCTGTAAGAACTTCCACAATGCACAGACTTCACACCTCGAGACTGGGAATCAAAGAATTTTATAAGTCTTGGAATAAACTCATCTTTCTGTTCCGCATGACCAAGTCGACCCAATCCACCCCAACCCCAAGAAAAAACTCTTTTCTTAACATCTATTGCCACCTGGGGAAAAAAAAGAAAAGAAAATAAAAAAAAAGTATTGAAAAACTTGTCACATTAATTAAATACAACATTAATAATACAAAGATTACTCTCTGAATCATCCCTCTCTTATTACCCTAGATTTCCCTTTCCTTCCATTTGAGAAAATGTTAGTTCAAGGTATTCCTGGTCAGAGATCACTTCTACTCTTGATGAAACATTGGTTTTCATTGTTTCAAAATACACATCAGCAATTAGAATTTGTGATTCAGAATCGAAAGAGAAATATCTCCAGAGCCTTTTTGCGCTTTATTAAATGTCAAAGACAACTCAAAAAATGATTATTTTCCTACCTGATACTCCAGGAAAGTAAAGACAAAATTTTCACTTGATTTGAACATTAAAAGCAAAAATTTGAACCAAATAGAAGGGTTTGAATCAGGAATATTCCTTGTTAGAATACTCAGGTAACTTGAAAGTCTTAGTAATTTGAAAGCCCATTTATTATTTTCTCTCTCTCTGATAGTGGCTACTTAATTGAGGTTCCATGACATTTCACAACAAATCACAATTACTTACAGTATGATTTGATCCACATGAGAAGTCAATAATTTCCATAACTTCCACAGGACTAATGTGACCATCCTTTGCTTTCTCCACATAAAAAACTATTCTTTTTGGAGTAGTTTCACAATGAAATCCTAATTTTGTTGATGTCACAAAGTACTTTCCATCAGTGTTGTGGCCTAAACAGAAAAAAACAAAACAAAATATCAATGTAATATCCTAACAACATTTAAAATTATATTCAAACACTTAAAAGTGTCAAGATGATAGTTTTACTGTATATAATAACTGCTAAATATATTTTAAATACTCTCTGTTAATACATTAATAAAGTGGTTCTTAAAGGGGGTGCTGTAGGATAGCAGTGTACCACAAAAATAATTTAATAAAGAAAATATAAACACACTGAATTTTAAGACAAAGACACATGTAACAATCTATCCAATTCAAATGTTTTCTGAATAATTTTTTAATGTGGGTTGACTTTTGAATACAAATTGCACATCAGACTCAACACACATATAATTCTTCATCCCAAGAAGAAAGTCACTCAAGTTATTTACTTTTAACGTGAGCCAATGCTGAAAATTCCTATTGGAGAAGGTGCATCATTGAAAACTGAAGTAATATAGACAGAAGCTATTGAAAATTTGCAACACTAATGTAGGAAAGTTTGCCTTGTTTTTACAACATGGATATGCTGAGTAGAGTTCCCCCAAGATGAAAGAGTGAGACATGACCCCAAAATGTTTAATTCATTCTCACGAACATAACTATAAAATGAATTACCATAAACTATTGATGGTGAATACTTTCCTCTTTCAAAGAATACAAACGATGTGTATTTGAAGGATCCTCAATAATTTGTTTGCCAAACTATAAAAGAATCTCAGTGCTCTATCAATTTATTTAAATGTTTCTCTCCGCGCTATAGTCTGTCAGGAAGATTTAAATTAAACAAAAATAAACAAGTGTTCTAATAACATATCACTACACAAAACTGAGATAGTGTTCAATTTTTAATTTCATTACATTCTCCACAAGTAATTCCATTTTGTTACATTCCCCACTGATTATCCAACAATTCTCGATTGTAGAGTCGTTTTTTTAAAGCAAAATTAAATACTGACATAAGAATCTGAGTTCATTGAAAACTACTAATCATTATAACATTTTGGGAAACAAAAAAATGGAATTTCAAAGTTTTACAGAAAAGTTATTTTCTTTTAAAATGGCTTAAATATTGATATTTTGGCAAGACCATTTAAATGTAATTACCTACAGAAATACAAAATTGGTTCTCCAAGAACTGACAATTAAATGTTTAAATACAAATACATATACACTTTTAAAGGAAACTGAATCAGTTTAGTGACCCTTTTTAAAATAATTTTGGGATTAGCAACTTTTCATAGCGGGGGGAAAATATGAAAAGAGTTTAAGATATGCAGGTCCTCAATAAAGCAGAGATATCTCAAATCATCAAAACAAATGAATAGGGAAAGTGAATAATATCACAATAAAATGTTTGATAGATTTTGGAGTACATGCTTACGAACTCTTTCTAGTTATAACCAAAACATAGTTCGTTAAAGAAGATAAACTTGGGGAAAGTCATCAAGAAAACAGATTATGACACAATCTTAATTGTAAACTACTCATCCTAAAAATTATTCAGAATATTTTCTGTTTTTGAAGAAATTTCCTGACAAACATTATTTTTTTTTAAATGTATTTATTTATTTATTCATCTTCATTACTCATAATTAATTAATTAATTTATTTATTTATCCGTATCAAAAGTTTAAAGAAACAATGTGAAGCCATTTTTCAGAAATTATTGTTCTGTTTTTTGTTGTTTTTCAAATATTTCACACAATAATATGCCAAACAACTAAAATTTTCAAAAAACATACATGTAAATGATTTTAACAGAAGAAATAATTATGGAGAATAAATTTCATTTGAAGTCCAAATCTCAACACTAAGTATGATGATTTATACATATCACAGATAACATACTGAATAAAATTTCCAAAATCTTGTTTGTTAACTTAATATTTTCAACTATTTCTAAATCACGAAGACTGTTGTTTATAGGATCTCTTACCTGCACAGTCGTCCGCGCTCCGCCGGTCTACTACTGTTCTTCGCCACATAGCAGATCGAGTCACCGTCGCGTCCTGACAAGCGTCCCGAACGACTTGCCCACCATATACGACAATTGCGCGAGGTCCCTTGCTCGATAGACGGCATTATCGGCATACACTGCGAGCCTCTGCTACTCAAAACGACGCTCCCTCGTGATCGAAAGACCATTGCGATTTTAAGGGCAGAAAAATCCCTTCGTACGCCTTCCTTCGGAGAGAAGTAAACAGCCGGCTGTGTCCCCATGTTCGTAATTTACTTCGCATCGTAAAAGATCTCAACTCTCGATGAAGCTCGAGCTAAATCTAATCCCGTGCTGCTGAGACCTAAATTAAACACACATACCTGCGCTCTAATTTTTCGCTTTCTCCCTCGCTCCTCCCCAAGTAATACCTCCTTTCATCTTCCTCACGTTGGCGGAATACGGCAAGCTTAGCCCGAAAGATTTTCTCGTGTCAGCACGGAAAAGAGCGCGCCGATGCCCCGCAGTCTCATCCACTTTTAAAATAAGAGCAAATGTCACTTCAATATTTAGAATGACATCACACCCTTTATAAGTGTATTTCACTTTATTCGTACAAGAAATTTCAAGTAAAACTTTTGAAAATGTCCAAGGGGCTTCACATAAAGTACCCCCAAAAAATAATGAATGTTTTTGAAAATCGCAGACCTTCGAGTGAGGCTAGACCGACTGGGGTTTATTCAGTTTGGAAAAAATCCTATCCATTGTTTATGCTCGTGTTGTTCACACACAACGGATGGACAGACAGGTTTTGGAAAAGAAAAAGGAACGGAAAAAACAACTTTTTCAGTATCAAGGATCCTCAAATTCATGATATCCAACTACATAACATGTTAGGGGAAGTAATTAACTGCATATTGAAACAGGATTTATCCACTACTTTCGTAACAGGGCCTCACATTAAACATTTTTCTGCCACAGCATTACATCACTTTCTCTATACTACGTATGTTACTTCAAGTATACATAGTATACGGGAAAGTAAAAACAACATTAATGTTGTTCCTTTCATTAAGGTCTTGCTGTCACCTCAGAAGTATTTCCAAAAGTGATTCATTGATGATGACTAATGTAAATATGTCTATGGTTTAATGGATAAATGTCTATAGCTTAAGTTCAGTTGGAACACTTCATTAAACCATATTTAAGGTGATTTTTGAAACATTACATTCAACACCACTATGAAGCCCAACTTGATATTTCCAATTATTATTAAATGAAGGAGTGTAACCATTGAGTAAAATGAAATTTTCGTTGTTTTTCTCACTTAACTACTTCACTAATAAGAGAATTTGATGCTTTTATATCTTTAGCTATCATTTAATTGCATCCAACTTTTTACACTCAAATATAAAATGAAAAGACTCAATATGAAAAACAAACAAACCTGACGAAAGTAACAAAACTTACCAAGTTGCCCATACTCAGGGCAGCCGAAAGAATGAAGAATGCCTTTGCAGTCCAATATCATACTGAACTCCCCACCACATCCAACTTTAACAACAGGAGGTCCTTTGTAATTAATCTGAAAAAAATCAGAAGAATAAATTAGTAAGTCTCAAAATTTGGTACTACACATGTTTAACGAACTAGTGCAGCTACAACAGCAATTCTTTCTCATACTTTTTTATGTACCCAGATAATATATTACTTGCGCACACAAAAATGTGTCCATCCATCAAAAAATTTTCCCACTCTAAGATTCGAAGTCAGATACAAAGGTTTGGCACACATTACCCCTAATTCACATGTGTCAGCTCTTCCCAACACTTTAAAAATTATTGATTGATTGATGTTTTTTCCAAATCTCTTTTGAAAAAAATTATAAATGGCATTAACGTCCCACAAAAATTATGCGAAAATTACTTGTTTCTTCAAAAAATTGTACATGACCTTATTTGTTATTATTTTTACTTACATTACCTGGTATATATAAGGAGTATATATTACTGGTACAGCAAAAATCATCGATTTTTTTATACAAAAAATCATATTGTGGTATAGTATTGAAAAAGTGGATAAATCTCTTTTCTATGCACAGTAAACTACTTCTGCCAAAACATTTGTGTAATGTGTTTTGTCAGTGCTTGATACTAAAAAAGTGGTTGATGGCAAAATGTCTGTCTGTGGTCAATGACAAAAAGTCTTGAGAGAGGAGCACAGGACAAGTAACGCCAAAATATAAGTTCTCTAAGGCTGTGGGTCCAAAAACTGCTGAAGGCATGAATTTAAACAAGTTACTTGTGTAACAGTGTCTCAAGTCCTTCTGGCGTTGGACACTAGAAGCAATTCTCCTTGAACATACATGAAATCAGCCTTATGTCAAGTCAAGACATTTACTTATTTACCTGAATATAAGTCAACTTTCAATATAAGACGTCCCCCTGATGATTTTTTAAAATTTGTAATTAATTCATACTATATAAAATTGGAAATTTTCTTATTGACTAGAAAATTGACTTGTTGATAGGAATGTTAAGACTTATGGCTGAACTATCATTTTATTGATCCTTAAAATCATTAATTACTACCCTTATGTATCAATGTCCTTACCCACATGTATCAATGTTTTATTTGTTTTGATCCTCTTCTCATGATGCAACTTCTGACTTTTTAGGCCCCTCTGAAAGTTTTGTGCATTGAATTTGTGTTTCATCAGATGCTACCAAGAATATTACTTTCTGTGTCACCATACAGTGATCTCTGTTTCTTTAACAGTCCAAAACACAGATACGCACTCCCCAGGCATCGAACCAAGACTCCATGGGGCCTTGTCAAACCCACATCGTGTTCTAATCTCTGCAATCGTTTTCACTTCACGTTTCATTTGATATAATGCCATTCGTTCCCAATTCCCTCTTTACCGGCCAATTCAAAAATACTGGTTTCAATTGCCTCGCACATTCGCGGTGGATGCCAAGAATACGATATTTTCACTCTCTTCAAGTTCCCAGTTACGCTTCAGGTTACATTTACAAGTTTCGTGAAATGGGATGGCAATGTAAAATCTTAAACATCTAACCGACTAGGCTTAATCTATGAATATAAGATGACCCCGCATTTTGAAATCGGGAATGGAAAAAAACTCATCTTATATTCAGGTAAACATGTATTACAACAAATTCCATTTCACAAATAATCCTTACCCCTACACCTTTCTCTTTAACATCTTTCTACTTTAGCACAAAAAAAGTTAAAATTTTTGTGAACATTCTGAAAGTTCCCCACAGGTGTCAAAGAAAGAACTTTGAAAACCAAAATAACATTTCAAATTCACGGGGGCTGCAACATCAGGCACATAAAACAGAGAAAATCCTGTCTTCACATGTTGCTTAAATAATTTTAAAATTCAAATTACAAACACATCCATAATACCAACACTCAAAATAAAATATAGTAAAAAGTAATTTTTCCCCTCTCAAAAATATCTCAGATGTACTGTATATTCAATAGTAATGAAAAATGTGTGTGTGTGTTTGTTTGTGTTTGTGTGTGTGTGTGTGTGTGTTTGTTTGTTTGTGTGTGTTTGTTTGTGTGTGTAAATCTTCTATTCACAACACCCATATGCAAAATTATGTGATAAGAAAAAAAAAGATTTGGGCAAAAAAGTGTTATACAATGTTGACCAAATAATTTTCAACAAGGTTTAGGTTAATTCAATGTTTAGGGTATGTCAACCAACTGTATGTTAATGTTTATGTAGCACAAGACTTGGATGGTTAAATAAATTCTTTAAACAAAGATATATTATTTTCGATATTCAAAATGATGTTATTAATTTCCAACATATTGATGGCACAGTGCACACATATTGTGCGTCCACTCATGGTATTTTTGTGTTAATATCATATTTGAAGACCTTTTGTTCATATGTACCTAGTGTACAAAAATAGTACGAGTATGCTTTTCCCCAGAAAGCTAACCTTGTCATTTCAAAGTTAACTCCATCTTTACAAACTTCCAAGCGTGTTTGTTTCGAAACGTAAGAACTCGTGTCATACAATATGTGTGCACGAAGCTATTTATACATATTATTATATTATTAACAAAAAAATGATTTAAATAAAAAATTATTTTTTAAATCTTTTTGTGAAATCGTGATATTTATCAGTCCTAATATTAAATAAATCAACACATACCTGAGTTGCTGTAGTTACAACTGGATGTTGATTCCCAATGCCACATTGTCCCATTTTATTCTCACCACAAGCATAAACAGTACCATCATCTGAAATATTAACAAAAGTTCAGGATTTGAAGATAAATGGAAAATGTGTTTGTGCTATCTTGAAAGACTTGGATCACAACATCAAGAAGAAAAGTAACTGAAATCACTTTCTTTATGTTAAATATAAGCAAACTCTGTGTATCTCCTTGGAAGCCCATGTGTAATTTCCTTGGTGCTTGACATTTTGTACCTCATAAAGAACAAAACAAGTCAATGTAAATCAGTTCAGTTTCAAGCATCCTGCATCCTCATTACGCTTTCTAACGCTTATTTGGGGGCAACTATGCACAATATTTTTTTGTATGTTTGTTTCTTACTTTCTCACCTTACGAATTTTTCGTAAGAAGAGAAAGTTATGTAATCGTGCGCCGGAAATCGACGAATTTTCACTAGAAATGTCTTATAGCCGGGTTCTATGGATGCTTAGGAACGACAGATCTTAAAAGGTGAGAGCACAGGTGGCAACAAGCTTTCCTGGAGCCTGCTCCATCCTATCTCAACTTGTGTTATTAAATGGGGTACTTGTTTATTTGGAAATTTATAATATTTTAGTTTCACAAAACTTTTTGTTTCTTTGCTGGTCCGAATGCTTGCAACAATTATGTTGGTAGCATGAGCTGCAGCTTGTAACCAAGTAATACGTAAATACCCAACCTAGAATTTACATGGTTGACCCTATGGTTTCAGCATTCTTGTTCAATGCTGAACGTCCCCTTGCTTTTTGCAGTAAAAACAAGAGAGGTGCTTGAGGGTGGCATGTTGTTTGTATCATATCTTATTTCTATATATTTGTCTTTTTGTTTATCTGTATTTAAATTATATTAGTGATTAGAACAATAATAATCACAATGTCTTTAGTATGTTTGTCATATAACTGTAAAAACAGAAGTCATCAATTACAAATATATCATTTTTCAAGATTGCTGCCTTATTTGTGATCCGTTTGTTTGCTTCTCATTGCAATAACATTCACTTTCAGGATTTATGCTAACTACAATAACATTCCACCAGCTTCCATTCTTATAACAATAACTGATGCAAGAAGCAATGTGTATTTCAAGTTTCTCAATTCGTTCTCCTCACATATTGCCATTTTGTTTTTAAATGAATGGTTTTAGGTCATGGAACACAGGATTTATATAATGCGCGGTCCACGCCCACCCAGCGGTAACTAGACCAAACAGAATACTAGAATCCTCTTTCTCCGGAGGGTGCTGCTTTTACTGCAAAAAACATGGCTTCAATTTGCTGCAAACATGGAGATGCTTCAGCCACTTCATGTAGTATATTCTAGCTCATTGTAAACATAACATAACAGATGCTGGAAGAGTTGTCACCTTCACTTTTTTTCCAGCAATATGTTTGCTACAAACATAAATGCAAATTTTTAGTAGAAGGCTCTGACTTGGCCCAATGTGGAGAGACTTTCCTGGTGCATTATGTAATAACTTGTGGTTGGTTTCTGGGTTTTACTGCTGATCTAACATAAGTATGTGCCTGCACAAGTACAGTTGACTCCAATTACAGTGAACTTCTCAGAAGTAACAGTTTTTGTTCACTATATCCAATGATGTCAAAATTAAATAGAATTTCTCCATGAGGATTAATTTTATTAATAGAGATAAAGCAAAATACATTAACAGCACAAACTGAAAATTTCAATATCTTTATTTGTCCTTAAAAATTAATTATTTTCATTTGCTTTCTTCGCACATTTTTTATTAGTAAAATTTCTCTAGATCCTTCTCCAGAGATCGTGCACTCCCCATACTTGAGTCTGCTGTCTCTAAGTATCGTAATGAAGTCTTGATTCTTAAATTCCACTTCCACTGTTGAAACACAGTCCTAATCTCTGAAGGCCCTTTTACTCAATCAATAACATACAAGATCCTTTCGGTAGCGGGATGGCGAAATCCATTTAAAATTGATCACCTTTCCGTGTAGTGCTGGGCTGCCTCCAGGCTGTAGGACTGGCAGTTTCATGCCTCCTGGCCCCTATGTACAACACTACATGCTTCCCAAAAATCATCAAATAACACCAAGCTTGAAACTGAAGCAATCAATCGCGCTATGCCACTGCCAGTTGTAGCCCAATGTTGTACATGGTCCTTGTTTCCGCAGTGAATACGAGGGGCATAAGGTTATAACATTAAGGTTCCCATTTCAGATCTGCTATCTTCACCTCCGTGGAAACTACTTTGATTACGACCTTTGGTTGAAGATATTTTTTCCATGCTACCTGGTGTTGGAATTTAGGGCACTGAAGCAATATTCTTTTCCAGGAAGGAATCAATTTTCACGATGTTGTATTTCATACATTCACTATAGCCAAGGTTCAGGTTCACTATATCTGAATCTTCTTATGCTTATTTGTAATGTAAGTGAAATAGGGCCAGTGACTTATGCTTACTATATCCAAGTTCACTATAACCAGAGTCAATTGTATGTATTAATCACAAAGTATAGTGCAACAATACCAGTCTTCAAGGGAACAGTGATAAAACACTCAAAAGAATTTGTCACAAGGTGAGATTGTTGTGAAGAAGAAAAAAGGTATTACCAGGTTTTAAAAATCCATAAGATCTAGGAAACCCAGACAATAGATACTGAAAGGTTGGAGCACATAACTGTATACATACAATTAGGCAATCTGTTTGTTGCCTGGCTGTTTTCAACAAAATATACAGAAAATACTGTGAACCAAAAACTTTCTCAGCAGAATTATAACAGGATACTCTAAACAGAGGATTATAAAATGTTTACTCTTCCCCAAAAAAGGAAAGAGATAGCTAATAACATGAAAATGTAATTAAACAACAATCTAGTGTCCAGAAAATGTTGAAATAAAATATTTTACATTTCATTTCTTTCTCAACTGGCCTTATTTACACTTCAAAGAATGAATTTATTATGTACATAAACTTTATGAGATAACAAACCGATTATTTACTGTTGCCTACGAATTTAACATAATTAGGGGGCAGGTTTTAATAAAATATCTTTTTTTTTCTTTTCTCTTTAGAACAATACTTTTAGTTACATTAATTTTATGTTATGACAAAAGGACATGACCCTTTTTTTTACTGCTTTTTTGTCGTACTTTGCGTCAATTTTGACTAATAAGTCATTATTTATCTTTTCTCGACGTTTTAAAGCAATTTTCAGTTTCATTACGCTAATACCATTTTAATGGTACATGCCCCAAATATTATTTACGAGATGTAACAAATAAGCTCTATTCAATTCCCGAGCAGCCTATTTAATATCTTTGCTCAGAAAACGTAAATTCAGCCATTATGAGTATCTAAGGTTCCTGAGATGCTTATCAGTGCCATTGTGGCTTCGGCTGAGTTTACAATAAATAAAGACAGAGATTTCCTGGTAAAGAACAGTCCAAAAGTTTGCAAGCTGAGTTTACTTGAATGAAAAGAAGTATCATTGATTACATTAGTAACAATATCCAACAGCTTAAGTTGTTCATCTGAAGTGGTTTTGATCAAATTTTTTAAACGTTTTTTTTTTCTCTTTTAGGGCATTCTTAAAACATTTTAAAGAGAATTTTATTGATCAATTTCGGATAGGTTAGGTCATCAAAATCTGCCCCCTAATTATAATCAATTATTAAACCACCTTTGCTTATCAAACCCGCTTTACCCATCCTGCCAAACTCACCCACATCATCCCCTTCACCTCAGCAACTCCGTACATCTCACCCACATTAGGTGCATTGAACATTACATAACTCTGCATGAATATGTCGCAGATACTGCAGTAACATGAACACACACATCCATACCTCTTTTATGTATTTACATTTAGGACATTATGTACATATGTACATGGACATTTCCAAAAATTATATCTATTTAAATAGTAATGTGTATTAAAATTGAAATGTAGAATCAGAACTTACATATTTTAGTATAAATTTTGGCAAATTGAAAATGAAACAAATTTTTAAAACTATTTCGCTTGACGAAGTCAGTTTATTTTTAGACTTGGGAAGTTAGTTACTTTTGCGCGTCTGCAAGTTTCAGTGTCATATGAAAGCATAGTAACAATTTTGTACAATTATCAGTACACAACATGAATATCATGAAACCAGCTTTACAGCATACACGGTCTAGTCCAATGCTTTTCAGACTGCAAATATAGCCAGAAGTTTCACCGTTTTTAAATTTTTTGGTTTATTTGAAGTTAAAAAAATGGTATTAGATATAGTTTCTAATGATGTGGATAAAATGTGCCAAAAAGTTGGAAGGAAAAATATATTTTCAATTAGATTTACAATATTTGTGCATCTTTACTTTCAATTTAAGGCAATAAATAAATAATGTACCTGACAGAATTAATGTATGATTCCGACCACAGCCTGCACCCACAATGTTCTTTGATTCCAGGGCTTCAATCACTGTTGGAACATCACGACGATTTTGATCACCAACACCCAACTGTCCTTTTTCATTTCGACCTATTAAACAAATTATATTGTCTATTATAAAATTACTGATAAGAAAAAAAGAACAGGTGTGATTACATGAAAGATGGAGTCATACCAAGAGCAAAAGCTTTCCCTTCTTCAGTAACAATTATACTGTGGGAACTAGTACACCCTGTTGACACTAGACGAACACGGATTCCATTAAATGGAGAAAATCGGTGAGGTACCCAGAGGTTTCGGCCAGCGCCTGTTTTTGTTCCTTTGGGTGTTGCCTTCCTACCAGTCAGATCCCAATTTGTACTCCCACAAATCAGCAGGGTTCCTGCTTCTTCATTGCCTGCTACAGACTGACCAAAGCAAAATACTCGGTATCATACAACCAACATTGAAATACACTAAACAAAAATTCCATTAAGTGCAAGATTTAACAAGTAATTAGCAACCATGTACGAATAACGTGCTCATCTCAAATTACGATTTGCACGAAATAATCAGCACGTAAAGAATACCTTTCTACTCGTTTCCTCATCATTCTCTGCATCCGACGACAAATTTTTGGTTCCCTCCTCACTGTCATCGTCGTTTCCTGCTGTGTTTGATGAATTAACCGCTCCGTTTTCTTCACCCTTATCATCAATTTCTTTGTCAGGCTCATTATTTTCTACTTTTTGCTGCTTGTTTTCGCCGTCCTCGATTACATCTTCAGCTTTTCTTTTTCCCGACATGATAACTTCAGGATGTCTTGTACATCAAATCCGTCGTAAACAATATTTATCGATCGCTACGGTTCACTCTGTTAGACTGCCGTTGGCACTTTCTTCTTTCTATTGTTCTTTAGCGTTCTTCAGTTGCAACTGGAGTTATAACGTTTTTTCGCGCTCCCTGGAGAAAAACAGAGGAACTTACTTTTTCAGTTCCGAAGTTTTACGCTAGGAGGCATGATTAACCCGAGAACACAAAATGCTTGTGGTCTGTCGGTGCTTGTGTTCCTATGTTATACACTCTTCGAAATTGTTTTTGTTCTTGGAGGACATTTAATTCTCAGTGGATTGTGGTTATATTGAATGCACTGTGCGTTTGGAGCCAAGTGCCCCGGTGACAAATATCCTCTGAAAATGTGAGTTTCAGAAAATATCAATCTGTTCTACACGTTGACAATTAAAGATCTGTTTAATTTGTAATTTATCCATTTACGTCAAATCAACGGATAACAGAATAGTACACTTATACAGCATTCATTGATCGGGGCACCGGGCAGATATGTGAAAAAAATAACTGTACTCCTTGGTCAGAATATTTCAGCGTTCGTGAATCAAAGTTATTGCTTGGCTATGGATAGAAATAATGAGATGCATCCAACACTGATTGTGTGACTGGTTTCATAATTTTTTTTCTTTCGTGATCGTCGTATTCACGAGGGAATCGAAGTATTTTGAGACTCATGGAACGCATGAAGATTGACTTCGCTTAGAATATCGCCAATTAGTACGTGAACCCTTTAATCGAGGCCTAAGTTGACAGTCATACGAAAAAGGTTCCATTCTTCGCACGGCTTTCCGATTTTCGCAACAAATGAACTCCTGCATAGTGAATGTAAATAAGATTATTTGTGGAGTTTGCACAGTAATTAATTTTATCAAACCTGTATTTTGAATGCAATATATCGACGTGAGTTTTTAATGACATAAATATTTCAATTTATAAATATAACTTTTTAATTAAACAATGTTGCAATTTGTTCTAGGTTTGCTTGCTGACACGTGTATTAAAATTCATCATTTGCGTTTCAAGACTCAAGAAATGAATATGGTCTTTGATTTATGAGCATTTTATAAAATCAGACTCCGTTGGAAAGAATGTCTTCTGAAAATGGTTCAGATACTTCAAATAGTGATGTGTTAGATAAAGTGTGCCGGGATTTTCTTCGAAATGTTTGTAGGAGAGGGAAACGTTGCAAGTTTTTGCATCCAAATGAAAGTGAGCAAGAAAGTTTGTCAAATACTGTTGTAGAAGCAGGAAAAGCTGAGTATGTATTTTGTCATGATTATCAAAATACACAATGTGTTCGGCCCAATTGTCGCTTTATTCATTGCACCAGAGAAGAAGAGCATTTTTTTAAACTTACTGGGGAACTTCCAGAACACATTTTACAAGAGAGTATTCGAAAAGGTATTACTTTCGAATCTACTAATCCAGGAGATCCACCAGTCTGTAAGGATTATTTGAAAGGCACATGTCGTCGTGCTGGAAAATGTAAATTTCGACATTTGTCTCTGAGAGAGTATGAAATTGAACTAGGGTTCCACATTGCCACTCTTCCTCCGTGGCAAAGTACTGGTCCTGGCACTGTTGTTGTTGCAAGGCGTCGGGGATTTGAAGATACTGTATTTACGAATGCTGGAATTGGTCTGGACACTGAATTGTGTCCCCCTGATTTAAAACGGCGTCATATTGTGAGTGTTGATCCTCAGACACATACCCTCTGTGTTCGTGAAAATCCTCTCATTCCAAATGGACATGCAAGTGGTTTTCCTGTACCAACAACTACAGCTAACATGGTGTTTCATGCTGATACACGCAGCATGTTAATTGAAGAAGAGAATGCAGTCTTACGAAAAAAGGTTGAGGAACTTAAAAAGCAAGTTTCTGATCTAACTGCAACAAATGAATTTTTACTTGATCAAAATGCCCAACTTCGGATGAGCTCAAAAAGAACTGCCAACGTGACTGCTGTTACAGTGCCTGCTGTTACAATTACAAATACTGGAGCTCCAACCATGCAAGTTCAGCCAATGACTGCTCAGATACAGCCTGCACAAGCTCCTACTCCTCAGCAAATGGTGAATGCTGCAGTGGCAGCAAGTACTTTGCGGACTGTGACAGCTAGTGTTGCTACTGTACCTGTATCAATTGCTGCAGTTGCAGGAGCTCCAGTTTCAATAGCTGCAGTTTCAATGGCCCCTGTGCAAATTCCCCCTCCAGTGGTAACAATGGCCCAACAGACTTTGGCTGTTGAAGCTCCGCAGCCTCCACAGCAACCTGGAGCTCCACCTCAACAAGGACAACAACAGAACCCACAGCAGCCAGGTCCTCAGACACTTCCAATGTCTATTAGTGGAGCAACAGCTCCATTAGTTTCTTACCCTATAATGACACAAGATTTGAGGCCTGTTCTCCAAACAAGCCTTTCTCATTAATTTTTATCAATGTGTGTCTGTTGGCAAAAATGGAATTCTGTGCTAGATTTACTGTCATTGTGTGAAGGAGATGTTGCATTTTGTTTAAAAATGTGAATTTTTGGCAATGCCAGAATCAAGGTTTGTGAGTATTTTTATTTATTTTTAACGTATATTGACTTTTATCCTATTAGAAAACAAGAATATTTGGAATATGAAATGATGGATGAACACTCATAAGATTCAGTGGAACTTTCTTTTCAAGAATTCCTCCTAAAGATTCTGATTTTCTGCTCTTTGTACTGTGCTGTATTGTCTACTATTGTAGATCTGAAAATCAGTTTGTGTTGTAAATGTATGTATGTTAGGTAGTTTAAGTGTGTTGCAAGTAGTGTTATTTGAATGTTATTTATTTTAAATAAAGTCATATTGACATTTATTTGCTTGTTTTCATTAAAATATTTGATCCCAAAAGTGTATGTAGTAAGTTTTTTCCTTTATTTCCAACCCTTTTAGTGTAAAGTATAAATTCTAAACTGTTAATAGTGGAATGACAATCAGATATTACACAGTCTATGATATGTAAGACTGCACTGGAAGTTAATGATACGCAAGACTGCACTAAATTTTCTCCATGGGTAAATATACTCTCACGTTTTTAGCTTACTGCGTGATTACTCTCACGATTTTTCGTAAATGACAGTATTACACTTGTTCGTCGTTCAAATTCGCGCTTGTGCCCGGAAAGCCAATGGAATGGAAGTATTGTGCCAGCACTTATAGCCCAATTAAGGGCGATTGCCACGCTCACAAATACTCAACCGAATTTAATAACTTGTGTGATAAAATAAAATAGGTGATAATATAATCGGAAAATATTGATTTTTTACATCCCATGTTTTGGGATATTTCAAAATACGTAAATAAGGTTCCTATGAATGATAAATGGAGAACAAGCTTTATTGGGATATTCGTTGAAGGGGAGGGAAGATATTCTCTGTGTAGTGGTAGCAATGAATGAAATGAGGATTGAGGATCAAGATGTCCGTCGATGCTTTCTGAGTGTTATGTTTTGCCACTGATGTTTTACAGTTAAATCAGACTAATTGGAGACGTTAAGGAGTGTCTTTCGTTTCAATAACTTACGTTTGTGTGATTAGAGACTCGAGGACGCAAGAGAAAATTACGTTTGTGCTATTCAAGAGAAGAGTACGAGCAGTTGGAAGGCGACAAATTGACTAGTATTGGAAACTGGGTAATCAAAAGAACTTCAAGAAACGAACTTTCCAGAATTTGTTGTGAGAGGTATTTTCATATACAGACATTCATCGTTACAAACTAAGCAAATCGTTGTTGTGAGAAGCAGTGGTAGACTAAATATGTAAATCAGTAAGTTGATATATTTAGGCGCGGACGGTAACAGCGTAATAGCGACGTTTAGACCTCATTGTTCCCAGGTTAATCCTTGTACAAATTCTTCCTCTTTTATGTGAATTATCCATTAATAACAGCCACCTAGAGCTCGAAATGTAAATCTCATCCAACTATTTCGTGTACCTATCAATTATACTAGTATTTGTAGACATATTGACGTTTTGTATACAATTAACATTTTATTTATTTTCTTCCAGACTTGCAACATCAAAAAGATATACAGATTTTATACATTTGTGTGTTAGCTGCATTCTGTTTAATTAAGATGATCTGAATATTAAGTATGGAAGTGTGTTTATATGAAATAAGATTTTAAAGTCTTGATATTCACTTATCTCTTGCATTAAGTTGTTTATCTTGCAAAAACTATGGCATCTGAAAAGGGTTCTGATAGTTCTAATGGTGAGACAGTGGATCAGGTTTGCCGTGACTTTCTTCGGAATGTGTGTCGTCGAGGAAAGAGATGCAAGTATTCGCATCCAAATGAAAGTGAACAGGAAAGTCTTGGAGCTGCTGTTGGAGCTGGCAAAAAAGAATATGTGTTTTGCCATGATTACCAGAATACTCAGTGTACACGGCTTAATTGCCGCTTCATTCACTGCACTAGAGAAGAAGAACATTTCTTCAAACTGACAGGAGAACTACCTGAGCATGTGTTACAAGACAGCATCAGAAAAGGCATCACTATTGATCCTTCAAATCCAGGCAATGCACCTGTATGTAAGGACTACTTAAAAGGAAGTTGTCGGCGAGCTGGAAAATGCAAATTTCGTCATTTGACATTAAGAGAGTATGAAATTGAGCTTGGATTCCATATTGGAAGTCTACCATCCTGGCAGAGTCCTGGCTCTACAACTACAACAACAACAAACACAACAGCAGCAGTTGCGGCAGCGGCTTCTGTTACGACTTCAAGGCGTCGTGGCTATGAGGACGGTGAATATGATTATTATGGTAAGACCAGTACTGCTGGTATTGGATATGATGGTGAATTAGGTCCACCGGAAGTGAAACGTCGTCATATTGTGAGTCTGGATCCACACACTCATACAATTTGTATTCGTGAAGAGCCTGAGATTCCAAGTGAGCATGCCTATCCAGCACAAGCGACTACAACTGACATGGCAGCATATCATGCTGCCACACAGAGTACGCTTGCTGAAGATGGAACTACTACAGAAGTGCCACAACCTGAAACAGAAGAGCAGAAAGTCCAAGTGGCTGCCACTGAAGCTCCAGCTGCAAGTGAATATTATCCAGAACAGAATGTTGCTTCTTACGATTATGAATCGTATGGTCAATGCTACTGCTGCTACAGCACTACCTGTTATAATGCCCAGCACTGGAGCTCCTATTATGCCGGTTCAACCTACTATAGCCCAGATTCCACCAGTTCAAGCCCAAGCTCTCAAGCCAATGGCCAATATTGGCAAAACAGCCAGCACACCACTTCGCACAGTCAATGCTAGCATCATTATAGTGATCAGGCTAGTAGCTGAATTGCTTGAGCATGGGTGTTGATCACTCCAGTTTCAATGACACATGCTCAGAGAAGAAATATTGATAATTGAGGTTTTGTCACCTCAAAGAGGACATACAGCAACAAAATCTGTAGCAAGTAGGGAATTTGTAACTTCCAAATTCATCTGTGGAAACAAACTCCTCTTGCTTCATACCATATTGTAATGTAAGATTTCAAACTGGTTCTTCTAACCAGTGTGTTTCACTAATCACTAACATCACAGCAAACAAATGTCTGTCATTATTTGTTGTTGTGATGTTATCAGACTTTT